TTGAGTATTGATGACTGTCATAATTACAGCGCTTTAAAGCTGTACTTAAGTTATTTATTCTCCCCTTTCAAATTGGTGGTGTAGAGATAGCCCCTCATCTAAAATGTCAATTCAGCTCACAGTGTTGTACAATATTTCTTCATTTTTGTGTATATAGATTCTATATGCAAATCAAAGCAAATTGCTCTGAAAAATTTCAACGGTGAATGTTCTTTCGTAAAAAACAATTGAAAAATACAATTCAATTCACAAGAATCAATCAATCATTCGTTTACTCTTTTTGAGAGTGCCAGTGATAACCTCCATCATGCAGGGCACAGTCGAGGCCTGTGACAAACTGGCATGCTTACCCCAGCACATCATCATTTTTATTACAAAAGTATTACTAGATTCTAATAATATTACTACAATTTATTGACGGAGAGAAGTTTAAAGGGCCTTTATTACTCGTTGGGGAAAGAATGTGAATGTGCAGAATGTAGAAAGACATAAAATTGATTGTGTGTGCATGAATTTCATGCTATTCCAGAGCTATTACTGTTGCTATTGCCTTGCCTTGCGTCAATCACGATGCTTGCCTCAAATTATTAGAGATGTAGGCAAGACCTTGCCTTGGCCTGGATAGATATAGTAGACTTCGTAGACTACAGTCTCTAAAGGCTGACAAAAAATGGTAATAATTCATGTTAGGCTATGGCTGAAACTGCAGTATAATAAGGACTTGCCTCTCGACCCTTGAACTTGAACCTCCGCTACTTCTTAATTCCTCTGGCCCTTGGCCTCGGTCGGCTGACTTACTTTCTACTTTTACTTTCTTCTTCTTTGTCAAATTATTAAATTAAATGTCAAACCTGAGTTTTACCAATGGCCCAGTTCGTGCGGTATAAAACGAAGACAATATTATATGCCTGCCTAATCATGTAGTAAAGCCATAGGCCTATGATTTGGAGATGGGTTTATTTCTCAAGTTTAGGCCATTCAGTGTATATGTGGGGGGGGGGGGGTTGACACTATCTTTATTATTTTTCATTGCACTTTTTAAAAACTCCTCATTAACTAAACTTGCTTGATGAAACTTGTGAATCTAAATAATAACTTAATAATTTAAAAACCAACCTAGGCCTAGATCAATACCTACCAGTACCAGTTTTCAGCAGTAAAGAATGATTTTAGCTGTAGCAAGAGGGGAACGGCCGGGAACGCTCTGAACTCCGAACAACAACGCCAAAGATTTGAATTCTGTACAAACATCGTTGAGTTTTGTTTTTGTAATTGCAATTGAGTTGTGTGCCAAATATTACTCCTGTTAAAACTGTTTGAATTATTTGCACTTAGCATAATCTGAGGCTTTCAATTTGTGGAGACGTTATCTTGAATTCTGTCTCTGATAAAAGTCTGATTGAATCTCATCGTCTCATCGTCATCAGTCTCTCCCTCTCCAACAACACAAACAAACAACGACTGTGCGTGGTGTGTGTGTGGATTGGCAGAGTTGAGTCGATATCTACAATCTAGATTAGATAAGATCTCTAGATCTAGATCTAGTTTGGTGATAATTGAGTTCCTACTCCAAGACTAGATCTAGATCTAGATCTAGAGTTAAATACTGCCTGCCTTTCTCCACAGTCTCAGTGTGTGGTGTTGGCATCCAGCTGCAACACATATCTGCTAACCTACAGCCTACAGTCTACACAGTCTTCTACAGCCATTCCTCCAGAGAGATGTCAAAGAGAGACAGTGACATGTTTTTAGATGGTATGGACCATGGATTAGCCTATATGAATGTGATCAGTTTCATTATAATTTTAGCCTAGGTCTTGTTCTGAGTTTGGTTACCATGTACTGAGAGTGAGACGCAGCTATTCGGACTCAAACTCCTATGTGCGTGCACAATGACTAGATTTAGGTGTACCAGATGTGAAACAGACAAGTAATTCGACTTTGGCCTTCCTTGGTTTCTATTATCTGGCCAAGGAACTTACTTGACAAAAAAAAGGACGCCGACCGTGATGACCCAGTGCGAACTGTGGTCTTTTCTTTATTACAAAGGATTAATAATAGAAAGGCCGGGCAGTGGGCAACGGTGTGGGAGGGATTATTTATAGATCTATATGCAAAAAAAGGGGGTGAAGGTGGTGGGGTGGGCCTGAGAGAGAGAGAGAAAGGGCTGTCTTATTTATAAGGACTGATTAATGAATTTTATGATGTTTTGATCCCTTTGTAGTCGTGAAAAGTAGTGTAATAGCCTACCAGTGCTACCAGTTACCAATTGTATAAAGTTCGAATTGCAATGGGAGACTACTAGTATAGACCTTGCTTACGGTACAACCTGTGATTGCGCATGCGCACTTGAATTTGAGTCCGAATAGCCTCCAGCGGCTGTTCGGACTCGAGTTCGAATAGCCAAGTCATACTTAGACACTGCCATTGGCATATTGGGCAATGAATGAGAGTGCAGTCTTTTGACTTTCGGCACAATTACACAGTC